TGTTGGTGTTCCTGAGCCCTGAGGTGTTGGTGTTCCTGAGCTCTGGGTGTTGGTGTTCCTGAGGTGTTGGTGTTCCTGAGCCCTGGATGTTGGTGTTCCCGAGCCCCTGGCTGTTGTTGTTCCCACACAGCAGTGCTGAGCTCTCAGAGGGCAGAGCTGGCAGTGGCAGAACCAGCGTGTGGGGTTTGGGGAACATCTGTGAGCTCTGCCTGGAGCCCCCCCGGTGCAGAGTGTGGGGCAGGAGCTGTGGGGCCAATGGATTTGACAGCACAGATCCCAAGGTTTGCACAGCACTGGGAAATAACTCTGCCACCACAGGGTGTGGCTGGAGTGGGGCCCTGGCTCTGGGCAGGAGTGGGCAGTGGGAACCAGGAGAGGGCAGTTGGCCCCTCACAGGGAGGAGAAGAGGCCAGAGGAAATCTGTTGCAGCCATTTGTTGCCTAAAAAGTTAATGAAAGATACTCCTGGACATTTGTGATCAAGGATATCCAAGAAAGAACAACAACTGGCAGCTTTGGGTAAACCTTTGCTGTAGAGAAATATTGTTGCACATTTTTTGCAAGGAAGTTCTTACAGGTTTCCAAAGTGTTTAATTCACACTCCTGTAACACCAGCAGTACCTACCACTCCTCATGATGCTGACCCCGCAGTTTCCCTTTTCAAATCGGACTCCTTCATACTTGTGTCCTGTGAGGAAAGAAACCAGGGCTCAGTGGTAGTTCCCTTCTGCCCCTCTGGACACCCCTTTGGGGACACTGTGTGACATGACCTCGGTAGGAATGGAACCAAGATCCTGCAAATACCCAGGGGACAACACCAAGGCCATGGGTCTGCACGGGTGGCACAAACCACCCTGCACCCCAGACCCTGGAGCCCTCCAGCAAGCAATGGGAACAGGGCCAAAACCCAACGGGTAAAGAACTTGTGCTCCTTTTATCATTGAAAGTCATGTCAGAACAGCAGCACAGCAGGGACCCTGTCAGGTGTGTGTTTACAGCAGGGATTCCATCAGATGTGTGTTTACAGCAGGGATCCTGCCAGGTGTGTGTTTGCAAGCTCAGGGATTTGGTGACTATTTTAAATAAAGGACACTATGCAAAAGAAAGGTGAGCAGTGCATCCCCCAGGAGCCAGGTAAATGCAGTCCAGTGCTGCAGGTGACAGTCAGAACTGAAATATGATCCTACAGTGCCACTTGATCACTGAAAGAAAAAAGGGGCAATGGTGTGCACATGAGACTTCCCACTCAAAACACCTGGAGAGCTTCCAAGTGATGTCCCTTGCAGGAGACCTGCCAGTCAAACTGAGTGACACAGGGGGGATGGTCATGGATCTGTCACGGACTGATGGGAGCAGCGGGGACAGCAGAGGTGCCAGCAGTGCCCCAGAGGTAAAGGAGCTGCTGTTTCACTTCCAAAGGAGCCCAGGGAAGTGACAGTGCCCCCTGGGTGCTCCCTAAGCTCTGCCGAGTTTCACGGTCCATCCTTTCTCTAACAAAGCAAAGACATACCCATGATTTACTGCAGAGGGTGGGAATGTGTCATAGGTTTGAAAACAGATGTTGGAATTTTCTTTTTCTTCCCTAGGGTGCCGTCCCCGTTTCCCCCCCCCCTTTCTTCCGGGCTGGGGGGAGTCGGGGAGGGGTTGGGGGCGGAGTGCGGGCAGCGCAGGAGCGGGACAGGGGGAGGAGGAGCGGGGAGGGCTCGCGGGGAAGGGCTGCGAGTCTTTGCTTCGGGGGCTTTTGGTTTGGTCCGGGACCGGACAGAGCAGGAGCCCGTTTTTTGGCTGCCTCTTTCTCTTTTCCTGAGAGGAAATTTTTTTCCCCACGGGACACCTGGGGGAGAACAACCGAGAGAAAGAGAGACCGACCCATCTCAGAGCGAGGTATTCCGCTTTCAAGACTGCCTGTGGGAAAAAGGACTTGGTTTTTTTTTCACTGCTGGCTGCGAGCACACGTGGCTGCGAGAGCTTTGAACTGCCGGGACAGTCCTGCCCCCCCTTCCCCGGGTTGCCGTGGGTTTCCCCTCCCCCCACCTGGGGGATTTGGGATTTTGTTGTTTCTTCTCAAAGTTTTTGATTACAGCATTTGTTGTTTATTCAGATTTTGCTAATAAAAAGCTGTTTCTTTTCCTTTTCCACACTTCCACTTGAAGTCTCTTTTAATTTCTAAATTGTAATCTTGTTAAACTAAGACAATGTCTCCCTGCAGAACTGCAAATGGAATTCTCAGGGGAACAGGACTCACCTGGTGCATGTCTTACAGGTGTGCTGTGGGTCACACCACACACTCAGTTCCCACTGACTTGTGATGCTCTCAGCAGCTGCCTTATGTACACAACTTAGGGATCTTCACAGCTCATGGGAGCAAACCACAGTTACTGCCAGGGTTTCCTCTAGTGCCAACACAGCCACTTTTCATTTCCTGCTCATCATCACTCCAAGCTGGCCCCAGCTGCAGGGACGGATTTAGGCTGACAAGGCAAAACTGCTTATGCCAAGTACTTTTCCTTTAATGGGCATGTGAAATGTCCTCAGTTTTAATTCAAGGTTGTGGTGTGGGCAAGTAAACTCATCTTGCACCTACATTGGCACGTTGTCATGACAGTTTTGAAAGACCAATTTAAAACTTATTGAAATGCCAATCATGTGACTGTATGTTCTGCTCAGTTGTGCTGTTACACCTTCTAGCTGTTTAAATAACAGAAGGGACTGTGCTCTGCCTGCATGGTGAACTGTTTCAGGCTCCCCAGGGAGGTGGTCAGGGCACTGAGCCCCTCAGAGTTCAAGCAGCATCTGGATGTCACAGGGTTCAGTTTTAGGCAGTGCTGTGGGGAGCAGGGAGTTGGATTCTATGATCCTGTGAGTGCCCTCCACCTAGAGATATTACATTATTCCTGTAACAGTTCTGTATTTTTTATATTAGTTACACTTCCACTTCTTGTCGTGCCCAGGAGAGGAGTCCTTTCCCACGTACCTGTTGGAGTGGTCACAGTACATTCTGTGTAGGGCAGTTGATTCAGTCCCTCTTCAACCACCAGTCTGATCTGTGGAACCAAAGAGATGGGTCAGCTCAAAGGGATTTGTAATGTATGGACATAAGACAGTCCATGTTAGCAGTTTTTAAAAGCACTAGATGAACACCTAACAGCCCAAAGGGTCTAGAAGGGTCTTTTTAATAGTAGTTAGGGACTGAATTTAGAGACCTTTCTGTGGTGATGCCTACATTTTGCCCACAGATCAAATGAAGGCATTGCAAAATCAATTTTGGGGAAAGGGGGATTCATCAGCAATCATAAAACTGACTTTATTTATACCTGGCAGGCCTAGACATCACAGACAAAGTTTTCTCAACAGATGAATGAGGCACTGATGTAACTTCATTTGCTGATAGGAAATACTAGTGAGGGAAAGGGAAAATTTCCCCCCTCAGTTCCCCCCCAGTGGAGCTCTGAGGTCTATTTTCACATCTGTATTTCCAAGACTAACCTGCAGTGGGGCTGCCAGAACAGCCATTTTTACATTGCTGCAGCAATGAAAACACACCACTGAGTGCCCAAAGACAAGTCAGCAGATCTAGAAATCTCTTTATCACCTTCTCCTGGCACCTGCCAGCTGTGGGTACTGTGGGATGCTCTGCCAACCACCCCCACTGTTGGATGGTTTAGGTGGAGGTGCAGCTCATGAGCCACACACCCCTCCAGCGGCCACAAACCCCCCAGTCCTCTCCTGGGGCTGCCCTGCAGCTGCACCCCAGGCAAAGTTCCCAAAATATCTTCATCATGATTGCCCCTGAAACACGCTCTGGGTATTAAAAATGCTAAATTTCTCTCTGTTCACGAGCCAAAGATTTGTAGGCCAGAACTGCTCCAGGAGAGCTACAGCTGAGCCAGAGATGAGCCTAGTTATTCCAAAGTCCCTGTAGGATGGCAGAAGTGAGGGGACTGCTCCTGGGATGGAGCAGCTGTACTGCTCCCCTCAGGCACTTCCCATCCCAGAAACAGGGCATGGCAGGCTGGAAGGTTTTTTCTGGTTTTCCATTCTGCCCCAGTTCCTGGCACACAGGCAGCCTCTGCTAGAAATGAGAGATGGTCCCTTAAGTTTATAATCCCTCTCTGGAGATTTTTTTAGTCATTTTAGTCCAACTTTTTTTCCTAGAGCTGGGTTTGTGGCAGCCTTACTCAGAGGTGGTGGGCAGTTTCCAGGACATCTGTACCCAATTTTATTTTATTTTTTAAAGTTAATTCACACCAAAAAAATCCCCAACTTTTGAGCCAGGTTTGGAAGAAACACTTTTTTTCATACTCCTGTTTTGCTGACAGGGTTAACATTCTACATCATCTGCCAAAAGTTTAGAGTAAAGCAGTGGAGGTCTTATATTCAAATAATCTCCTTGATCTTCCTACACATATCAGTGTTTTACACAGGGGCTGGAAGGATTCTTCTGTGAACTTGTCAGTGTTGATAAAACACTTCTTTTTGCACTGTGCTTTCTGCCACCTCCATGCTCAGGGATTAATTTCCATCTCTTTTCTCTCTAGCCCCAAGAACCAGCAGCCCTGTTCCTCTCCCAGAGAGGTGGTTGCCATTGCTTGGAAGCTAAACCAGGTATTATTATGGCCTCACGTGAAACAGGAAAGCAAAGTTTAGGTCCCAAGGTAAAAGAATGTGACCAGAAATTAAAACCGTTAATTAAAGTTATCAGTAAGAAAAATAAAGTCTATTTTTAATTGGGAAACAAAAACAAAGCTAAAAGGGATGTTAATTTCTGGTAGGCCTGCTTAAACTGTCCAGGCTTCCAGAGTTATGCTGAAGGTTTAGATTAAGCATTTAATGCTGATATATGGAATTATATGTCAACGTGCTCATTTATTAGAGTTTTACAATTAGGATTTACCCCAGGGCAGTAAACAAAGGGAAAGACTGTTTGCTTTGAACCTTCATTAGTACAAGACCTGCTAGAGCTGTCAGCAAAAACAAGAGTTAATGGAGGGTCCAAGGAGCTTTAGCCAACTACCACATAAACATTTCAAGGATATGAAAATGTTAGTGAAATCTATCTTTTCTCAGCCAATTAAGCATGTGAATGAAGTCTCACCACAAATACCAGGGAAGAAATCAGGTTTGACCAGTTCCTCAGATTCCAGGAACAGAGAAATCTGGATATAGGCAACTCTAGCAAGCAGGTGACAGTGCTCTCATTTAAAGGGGAGCTAAACTTAACTAAATAAGGAATCAGTCAGGGTGCAGCGGGAGGTGGTGCTGCTCCAACCACATCAAACTGGGAAAACAGGAGCTCTTTCAGAGCCACCCCAACAGGTATCTGTGATCTCGGCAGTTGCTTGTTACAACTCTCCTGCCTGCCTGCAACTTGGAAAAAGATGAAGCGTTTAAAGGTCAAGAAACTGGAATGTAAATAAATTCTGGAGTGACCATTATGATGTTCCCCCATCTGTGGGCACACAGCAGGCTAACTTTTTTATGGGACAGCCATGCATCACCTCATTTCCAAAATCATAGTGACTCCTAGGGGATCTAACCCATTCTGTGTTACTTTACTTGGAAGCTGGAAGGAGGCAGGACAGCAGGGCTGTCAGCCATGCTCTTTATCTGTACAGCTCCTTGCAGCTCAGCATTTCAAACCCCTTTGGAACTATCCTCCCCTGAAAGAGGCAGGCAGGCAGAAAGGGACCTGCTCAGTGTTATACAGGGAGTGATGGTAGGGCTGAGAAACTAATTCATTCCTCAACCTCAGGCTTCCAGTCACACCCCAAAATCTGCTTTCTGCTGCAGAGCACTGGTGTACCTGTGACCTGAGGTGACATCAATTCAGTGCCTGCACAATGTGTGGGGGCTGGGATCAGTGTGAGCCTCCTGCACCAGGAGGAGCTGTCTGCCAGTCCCTCCACCCGTCCTGAGTTCTACCTGTCCCACCACAAGTCATAATGACTGGTTGTTTCCCATGCCAGAGGCTTGCTTCCTTCACAAACACCCGATGGATTGTCCTCATCCTCATAACTTTAATCCCACATCTTTCAGCTTCAGGATCCCAGCCCTGGCAGTGGCTTTCAGACACACCCTGATAAACCACCACGTGGTAACTGCTTTTGCTCACAAGTATCTTTGAATGTTTCCTTTGTATCATCCTCTTACACTAGGAACAAACTGCCAGAAATCCATCAGCTTTAGAATCCTTCCTTAAGACCTCTCCTTATGGTGATCTTATGGGACACTGCCACTAACAGCTGCCAAGCTAATACCAAGCTTAATTGCATTCTCATTTTCTCTCTGCAGCAAGGTGTATTTTGTTCCCCTACAATCCCACACACGTTTCTTCTCTTCATGTTTTGAGTTTTGCAATTAAGCTCCGTTTGCTCATTGGGTGGAAAACATGGCAAGTCATAACTATACTTGTACTTTGCTAAGTTTAGTAGAAACTGTGTCCCACATGAAGTTGTGACTGTTCTTTGCCACACCTAGGAATAACACACAGAAAGTGAGACTCCTACATATTGTTCCGTGTAAAATTCTTCCTAAAAAAAAAATGGAAAACAGACCAGCAGGTTCTTCAGCAAAGAGCTGCAGGACCAGCACACAGAGGTGTTTCTGTGAAGAGCAGCTCCCCAGCTTTGCTGCCCAGCCATGAAAGATGCTGGTACAAGGGCCTGAACTCACTGCCTGGAAGCTGCAGTTTCTAGCAATGATGGGGGGAAAAAAATAAAAAAAAAATCAGTGAGCTCTTCAGGACATCCACGTAGAGTGAGAAGGCACCTGGGAGAGGTTCTTCACACTAATCCCTCACAATAAGCTACTGGAATGCAGGAAGCGTTCTCAAGAAGGGGAATGCAGAGGGGGTGAAAGTGGAAAGCCACAAAGATAAAAAGCACTTCAGTCACAATCCTGCGTTGTGGTCATACCTGAGCCCTGAGCAAGCCTGGATAAGGCCTGGATTAAGACTGGGCTTGTCACAGGGAACCAGCCTGCTGTGGCAAATAGCACTGGGAACTGAATGGTCTTTGGACTCTCTGTTAATGAGAGTGGATTTGCAAAAAGCAAACACCCTCTTGCATCCAAGGAAGTATAGGTGTGGTAGCAAGTGCTGTGGTTTTCTTTAAGCATGTAATTTCAATGAGAAAAAGGCTGCATTCCCAACAGTCTTTGTTCTTACTAAAAACTTGCAGCTGCTTTGTCCCTGATAGTAACTACCATATGGCTAAAAACAAATTCTCTATGTGGATGCACCCCAAGCTACTAATCTAAGACACAAGTGCCAGGAGGCACTTCTGCGTGCAAACCATTGTTAACATCTAGGCTGTAAGAAATTGTACTGCTCTGTTCACAAGATCAAAAGTGCTGTTTCAAAGTAAACTCAATTATCTCTAGCCTCTGTGCATCTGTTTATAAACAGTCTCTTATTACTACTGCTCCCTGTCCTCATGTAGCTGTCTCTGATAATAACATGGTTTCTGGAATCCATTGAGATGAAACACAGAACAGAAGTCCCTATACAGAAAGTTGCTGTCAAATAGCAATTTCCTTTGGTTAGAAAAGTTGCTCTCACACCACCATTATTCTGTCCTGAAAGACCTTTTTAATGAAAGAGTTACCAAGTGCAATGCCAAGAAGAAGATATTCTTCACCTACCAGACGATCAGCAGAAAATACGAAGTCTCCTCTACTGGATTTCCTGAAAAAAGTAATAATTTATTTTTTAAATTGGGGAATAACTTTACGAACATTGATTAAATATAATATTAATTCAAGGGCAATATATCCTAAGGCAGTTCAGAGAAAAATCTCCTACTGTATACAAAATTTATCCCAGAGATTCTGCGTCATGGGTTTCCTGTTTGGTGGCAGGCACTGGGATGCAGTGAGCAAAACCCAGGGTTTGGCTCTTACTGCTGCTCTGTCCCAGTAGCAATTAAAGCATGAACACACAGGGCTGATGTTCTGTAGGTTTTCCATTGTACTGCCATTCCAGCTCAGTTCCAAAACACCTCCCAGGCTCAGATGTGCACCAATCTGGTGCATTCCCTGCAGCCCTGAGCAAGAAGAACTTCAGTTTAGAAATCGTGGACAATGACAGTGCAGATCCCAGCCCTGAGACTGACAACACACCGGATAAGCAGGGGACATATCCATCTTATCTGGAACTCATTCAGAATGTGAACAGATCAGTGAACCTGAGATTAAAGTGAGCAGGGATTAACAAGCATTCCCATTAAAACACCTCTCTGCCTCTGATTAGCCTGGGTACAACCCTTTACTCATATGACTGTTTGGCTTTTGGCCCCTTCAGCAGGCAGAATGAAAGGTTAAAAGCCTGAAATTTAGAAGCAGATTTTAACACCTTGCCTCCCATGACAAGACCAACTCTCACTCCATGAGAGTAGGACATGTTTCCAATCAAGAGCTCAGGCTTGCAGGACACTCACCTTCAAAACACTCAGACACAGCAGTCACATGGCAGACAGGTCCTTTGAAATGAACTGTTGTATTAATCACAGCAGGAAAACCCCTCTCTCACTGTCAAACTGTGATACTCTGCAGGTCTCCTTAACACCATAAAGAGAGTTCTGCATTTAATCCCCAAGGTTCTGTGACATCTCACATTAACATGAGTGAAAGGCAAGAGGTTTGTCTGCTCATTGCCTGGGAATTGGTCACTGAGCCACACTGAAAAAACGAGGTTTAAAAAGAGTGTCAGCCTAATCTATTTTCTTTGCTTGTACTAATAACACACTACTAAAAACACTGTTTGCTTTTATTTTTTTCCTTCTTTCTGGTATCAACAGAATATTCCTAACTTTCTGCCACTTTGACACTAACCAGGTAATACTCAAAAAGACCCCCAAAACTGCAGAAAACAACCCCAAACCTCTACAATTATAAGAACTACTTTTATTAAGATTTTTGATAGGATTCATATTTCCATCTATGGTGTGTAAGTATTTTTTAAAAAAGGAATGTAGCAAAGTGGCACACCTAGGTTTTCCCAGACTATGGCATTTCAGAAAATCTACCCAAATCTCAAAAATGGGTGGCAAGACAAGCCTACAATAAAGTGATATATATTTAGGGTGGATACTCTGAGTTATTAATACAGATTATTACAGGCTTTAAACTAACTACTCTGTCCTTGCAATGACACAGATGGTTTTATGCCCAGTTCACTGAACATCCTTATCATGCCTGGTTTTTGAGAGGGGGAGGACAACAGAAAACCACATTGCATAAAAATGAGAATAGTTATACTGAAAATGAAAGACCTTGTGTACACGGGCAGCTGCAAAGCCGGGACCACATTTCAAGACCCACATCCTACGAGCAGAAAAAAAGCCTTCTGTGAAAACACTATATCTGTTCCCCTGAAATACCAGACAGAAGTATAGAAAGTAACGATCCATGGCAGACTAGAAACTGTTTCAGCCTCTTGATCGAGTAACAAGACAGCATCTAAAAAGATGAGGCATTAAAACCCAACTTGAGGCAGGCAGCTAACAACGGGAGCTTTGTGGTAACAATTTAAAGTCATTTCAGTTGTTTCTGAAGGCCTGGGAGCAAGGCTGATGTACAGTTGCAGTCACCTGCCTGTCTTGAGAGAAGAAATGGGTTTTGGATTTGCAAGGTAACTGCAGGGTTTCTTCCTGCTTTAGCACTCGGTTCTTAGTTACAAGCACGGACAGGGCTGCAGGCTTGGGGGCTTCTCTAACTCCAGCTTCTCACTGTGATGGTAAGGCTGGAAAAAAACCCCTTCTCTACACAGAATTTGTAAAAGGCCTTTTTAAGAAAACCGAAGGCACTGGACACACTGATGGCATTCAGGGAGATGATGTAGCTGAGAAACAGGTCCATGTTCTACCTGCAGTACTTCAGTATTTAATTTTTTCAGTGCCTGGGCTGGGGTGGGATGTGAAAGGGATCCCACCCTCCCTGCTGCAGCAGTCAGCTTTACTCATCCCAGGTGAATTATACACTCCTGAATCATTCTGCTCTGTGCAGCAGCCAGGACTGTGTGTCCCACTGCTTTGCCATCTGCATTTCTATGGTATCACTGTTCCCTAGGGAGTGAGAAGCCTTAGCAGAGAACAACAGAATGATCTCACCTAACAGACACAAGAACCTTTAAATATCTGGATTTGAATCATGTCTATTGTTAAATTAGGAGTTCAAATGACACTACCAACCTGAACTAATGAGTTTGCTTCGACATAAACACATTGCTGAACAACTCATTTCAGCTTCCAGATCCCTGGTTCTCATCTGTAAGGCCAGAAATCACTTTGAGATAATTCCCTCCTTGGGAAGAGGCTGAAACTGTTTGTTCCAGAACGTTCAATACTTAAATGCATCAGTTCACACCTCATTAGAGCACTCGAGATTCATATCCAGCACACAGTGTAAAAGGCATCTGCCCCCCTGTTAAGCATTCACTGGATGGAAAAGTGACAAGCCTGAGGAAAAATGAGCAAACCCAGGCAAGTCGAGGTGATCTACCCATCTCTCCAACTCCGGCACACAGACCAAGTTCTTGTTCATTTTAAGGAAGCAAAAAAAAAATACGTGGTCATTTTAGTCTACCAGGCTAAATCAGGGACCCAGGTGTCTCTGAACCCCACAGGACATGATGACCAGCCAAATGAAGGTTTTTCTTTAGCTGGCAATTCACAACCAGGGTACTTCTGAGGAAGAGTTTCTTTCGGTACTTGCTTTAAATGCTACAGTGGCTACAGAGTTTTCTTAAGGCAGAGTGCACCTGCCCAGGGAAAGGTTAATAAACAGTGCCCAAAAAAGCCTCTCTCCTTTACAGCTAGGCATGTTCCAGCATCTTCTGAATGACAGGGACTAAAATAAGCCAGTCTGAGGTCTCTTATTTAATGAGATGCAGCTGAATTTCTGGAACAGAATACAAAAATAATGGTTCCCTATTGTCCTTACCTACAAAGTCTACACCTGCCTTTCTGAGCAGGCTGCTCCCCTGGCTGGGAAGGGAGCTTGGAAGTGACAGTTACATCCCCACTGCCAGGGCAGAATAAAGTACAGTCTGCGACTGCTGTAGCTGCTCTGAGTAATTCATTATTTACAAGCCTTAATCTAGACTTCCTCTTACCAAAGTCTTGTGCAATGAAGTTGATGCAACTCTAAGAAAATGTCTTCCAAGTTAAAATTGCAGCTGCTGGTTTCTGGATAAGCTCACTATAACCAGAAACCTATTAAATGGACTTGCAGCAGTTCAAAATCTGCTTACAACAAAATAATAATAACTAAGTACAGTAACTACATTGTTAGTATTTGCCTATATGCTATTTCCTTTTCACTAACCTCAAAACCTTTTACAGGCCATCACCAAGCCTAGTCTGGATTTCCTCTCTTTCTCTGTCTAGCCCACTTACAGCTTCCCTCTCTGCTTTGCAGGGAAGCTGCCAGGCCACCGTTCTCACCTGCAGAGATCTTCTGCGTGGTCTTGCCACAAGTGCTGTCCTTACACAAAGACTACCTGTGGGTGCTCCTGCCTGCCAGGAGATTATGCTTTTCCACAATACTTTGAAAATTAAGGGGGGAAAAAAAGCCAAAACACAAACAACCAAAAAACAAACAAACAAAACCAGACAAAAAATCCCAAACCACAACTAGTTTAAGGTAACAAAGCTCAGGTAAGCTAATAAAATTAATGGAGGTATTGTTTCTTTGAGAGAGTTTGGCATTAAAAACTGTATTACTGTTAGCTATAAAGTAAGCCTCAAGAAGCAGAAAATATCAAAACGTAGACTATGCAGATGGACAGAAGCACAGGGACAAGCAGTGTCTGTGCAATGAGTTAGTTATCGCAGATGTCACAAAGCCAATGCGTTGCAGGAAGAGGTTTTATTCAGAATCTGATCACTCTATTGATAAACTTGATTTCACACCTTTTTGCTGGTGGTTCTTGCATCAGAGGTGGTAAATTATGCTTTTAATAGACGGATGCTACTTATATTTGTCTTATATTGCATACTAAATTTAATACCTTACAATACCACCTTCCAAGTGCTGAACAATCAAAGCTACAGACATGCCATGTGTCCACCACCCGAGATGTGCTGTGGAACACCGTGCTCACATCTCCCTACAGCCAGAGCCCGGGAACGGCTCCACGCCCCGTCCCGCGGGTAGGATACACAATATCCGGACAGCGGGAACGAGCCCAGCTCCTGTCGGGCCCGCCGGAGTGACCACTAAGGTACAGCCTCCTCCCTCCAGGGCTTTACACTCCTTTGCACCGCACGCTCCATGGGATGATGATGTGGCACGCGAGCTCCGAGCCGCCCACGGCGCAAAGATGAGCAAAAACCTCACATCAGGGAGGGCAAAGATGTGTGAGGGGGTTCGAGACCCGCCGAGCCGCTGCCCCAGTGCCCGGCGGCCCCGAGGCGGGGTGGGCAGGGGACCCCCGGGAGCGCTGCCCGCCCTCTGCCCTGCCCTGCCCAGCCCAGCCCCCGCGTCACCAGACATGGCCGCGCCGCCGGCCCGGCGCTCAGCCCGGCACAGGAGCGTCCCGCCTGCCCCGGGATCGGCCCCCGGCCGCGCGATGGGTCCCCGGGATCGGCCCCCAGCCCCGGCGGGGATAGCGCGGCCGCGCCGGGACCCCACGGGCTGCGCATCCCTGCGGCGGCCGCGCCGAGCAGGGAGCCGGCACCGGGGTACGGCCGAGAGCGGCTCGGCGGGGCTGCGGCTCCCTGAGGAGGGAGGGAGGGAGGCAGGGATGGACGGAGGGGCGACCGGCGGCGATTCCCCCGCAGCCTCCCCGGCTCCTCCCCAGCCCGCGCTGCCCCGCACCCGCGGTCCCCGCCCGCCCCGCGGCGCTCACTTGTCCCTGATGATGGTCTGCAGCTCCCGCAGCTGGTCGTTCATGGGCAGCAGCTTCAGCTGCGGCCCGATGGCCTGCGCGCCGCCCTCCCCCGCGGGGACCGGCGGCGCCGCCACCACCCCGTTGCTGCTGCTGCTGCTGCTGTCCGGGCTGGGGCAGCCGCTGTCCTCGCTGGGCTCCGCGAAGCGGATCAGCCGGGAGCCGCCGCCCGCCGTGGCCGTGGCGGCCGGCGGCGGCTCCTCCTGCGGCCGCGGGCCGAGGCGCTGGTTCTGGCAGGGCATCGCCTCCATGCGCCGGGGCCGCGCCCCCGTGCGCGCCGCCGGGGCGGGGGGAGCGCGCCCGCCGCCCGCGCTCCATTGGCGGCCGCAGCCGCCGCTCAGCGCGGGGGCGGGACCGGCTCCGAACCCTCCGGCCCCGGCCCTGCCCCGGCCCTGCCCCGGCCCTGCCCCGGCCCTGCCCCGGCCCTGCCCCGGCCCTGCCCCGGCCCTGCCCCGGGCCCTGCCCCGGCCCTGCCCACACCTCCCGCTCCGCTGCCCCGCGGCTTCCCGGGGACGTGTCCCCGGAGGCCCCTGTGAGCGCAGCGCCCCCGAGTCCTGCTGCGGGGGTTTATCCCGCTTAATTTGATTCGGTTTGGGGGGGCCTTTACAGATAATAGAAACTGTAATAGATGCAGAGTAAGAGATGAGGTAGGATTCGAGGAAGTCCAAAAACGTAATTGTGTTTTTTTCCTGAATACAGCTGCCCAGGTGTAGCTACACCCAGTGATGTCTGCAGGGACACCCAGGACAGCTCCGCCCCGCAGCACAGCTCTCGGCACGGATACGCGCCCACATTTCCACCGTGCCAAGCTCTTGGGAAACGTGCTACACGGAATATGCTGCATGTGGATAAAAGAACCCTGAACTGTGGTATCACAGATCTGACATAGCTCTAATGCCTCAACAAACATGTATGGTCAAACCTCACAACACCATCCCGAGACAATCTCGTCACCGTTGAACAGGGAGGGAGGAGCGGGTTCCACGTGCCTGAACGCTGTGTCAGGGACAGCAGCTTTTACAAACTCACAATGACACCCTAAAACTGAAGATGGAAAACATGCATTTAATCATTCAGTTCATGCTCTCTTTAGTACAGTCCCTAATTTTTTTGTCTAATACAATTTTGAAATTCTGAAGAATGACCAACTGCATAAGAAATATATACTCCTTTCATGGAATACGAAGAGGAGTGTTTCGTGTTCTGATGGAATATTGACAATGACATTCTGCCATTCATCTAACACTGAAAAAACAGATCAGCAGACTGCTGAAGGGAGGTGATTAATTTTGAGAAAGGCATTAAAAGTGCTAAATGCTGGTACCTTAGTTTCCAGAGAACTAAGAGGGGACTATGCCCCATGCTGTAAACATCTAAGAAGGGGGATAAATTCTTAATGATGATAGAAGGAAGAAATTCTGGAAGTAGGGAGGATCCAATTGAATATAGAGAAGCTAAATATAAACACCAGCAAATAACAGTTACAGCTAACAGTAGGATACCAACCCCGGGATCTGCACCCTTATTTGCTCGCTCTCTCTAACAAAAGACAATTCTCAAGACACCATATAAAGTTGAAAAGAACAATAAGCCCAGGCAGTTCAGGAAGCAACATAAGAGAAAACAACCCACCCACAATGCATGGTTTCCTGTAATATGGATGAAATACGTAGGAGGTATTCTTCCAGCCACTCTAAATGCATCAAATGTTGACAGCTAAGAATTTCTCCTTAGAAGATAATTATTTTCATGATCAGTAAAAGTTCATGGGCATTTTTTAAGTACAGAGATATTACCAGAGAACAGCAGCTGTATTTGGAGCTGGAAAGATTAACCAAGAGCCCAACTTAACTCAAGCAGAATTTATCCCTCTGTGACACCTCTAATGTCAGTGGTGTGAGCCCTGAGAAACCCTAATGTGTACTGAAAAAGCACCAGAACTCTTTCATAAACAACAAGCCTGGACTGTCTTTCTATGTAATGTGTCTTCTTTTGAACATTGTTCAAGTTTTACAAACTAGGAAACTTGCAGTAATTTTCCAAACATTCTGAGAGACACACATGCAAACATAAGAACAGGAAAAGGATATCACTTCTCTGCCAGAAGCTAATCTAAAGTTTGGAATTCGGAAGTTTTGGACTCAAAAAGGGCCCAGGAAAGCACCTCACAGGAAAAATGCAGCCCCTCCACTTGACTGAGAGCAAAACAGCAACAAGAGTGACTAAACCCCACGAGACTCACAGGAGATGAAAAAGGAACCAGATTTCACAACTTACTGTCCAATACTTAATGAAATACTTGAAATACTGTTGCAGCAATATACAAGCAATACAACAAAGAATAGGCTAAGAACAGTAGAAAGAATTTGTAGTTAGAAAATCCAATGCAGTTATTCACCCTAGAGGACAAAAGCAAAGTTGAAATCAGGATTTGTGCAGCACATGGTTGTCACACAAAGAGCACGACCAGTTTGGGGGGTTATTAAACCTCTGGCTCACACAACAGAATTTGGCAAGAAGCAGCTCCCCTTAGTGGCCAAAATGGAACAGAACTCAAGTCTCTGCTTTTCACTCCAAGGCTTCTTGCTGGGCCAAGGACAAGCACAGCTCATGTTTTGGGGTTGGTACCGCGGGCAAATGTGTCCCAGAG